GGGTCTGGGCGATGAGTGCGTGACAGAGGTGAGGGGAGAAGCTGGAGCCTCCTGCTCAGCTGTCCTGAGTGCCGGCTTTATTCCCAGACATGGCAGTGATGGCGGAGTCGGCCCATCCACCTTCCCGGCCGCCCAGCACTGCACTCCCAGAAGCAGCTCCGGGCTGCATCTCATAGCCAGCTGGTTTCTCTGAACCATCCCAGCTGAGGCTAGGGAGGAAGAGGTCTGACTGGCTAACGGGGCTGGGGGTCTGGGTGGGCGAGAGTGTTGGCTGGACCGCCAGAAGGAATTGGTGAGAAGGAGGGCAGGCAGGGTGCTCAGGATGCTGTCCACGGGTGCGGTGGTCCCTCCCCCTCCCTTCACGTCCCCTCCCCTCCCCTCCGCTCCCCTCCCCTCCGCTCCCCTCCTGTCCCCTTCCATTCCCTTCCCCTTCCCTTGCCCTCCTTCCCTCTCTCCTTCTCTTCCTTCCCTTCCATGTGCAAATCTAGGTTCTGGGGATTCAGCAGTGAACACAAGCAGCAAACTTCTTGCCCTTGGGTTCACAGGGAAAGAGGCCACCAACCAGCAGATAAAGACATAAATAAGCAGTTTCTAAAGAATGCCAGGGCCTAGAGAGCCACCGGCATGGTGTAGGAGGGCATCTCGGACTCAGGAGGCGACATTTGAGCAGAGACCAGCTGGAGTGGGGAAGCAGCAGGCAGGTCTGTGGGAACGGTGCTGCAGGGAGAGGGAACAGCATGTCCAGGGGCCCTGAGGTGGGGACAGCCCGACTGGCTGGGTCTGGGCGATGAGTGCGTGACAGAGGTGAGGAGAAGCTGGGGAGCCTCCTGCTCAGCTGTCCTGAGTGCCGGCTTTATTCCCAGACATGGCAGCAGTGATGGCCAGAGTCCGGCCCATCCACCCAACCCGGCCGCCCAGCACTGCACTCCCAGAAGCAGCTCCCGGGCTGCATCTCACTGGCCAGCTGGGTTTCTCTGAACCCATCGCTGAGGCTAGGGGAGGGAAGGGTCTGACTGGCTAACGGGGCTGGGGGTCTGGGTGGGCGAGAGTGTTGGCTGGACCAGCCAGGAGTGGTGAAGGGAGGGCAGGCAGGGTGCTCAGGATGCTGTCCACGGGTGCGGCGGGGGCCACTGTGGAGCCCGGGAAGGGTCTTGCCGTGGCCTCAGTGCTCAGATGGATTGGGTGAGGCATCCACAGAGACCAGAATCTCTGAAGGAGCTCAGGGTCCAGGGAGCTGGCCAGAAGCTCCACCTTGGATGTGTCAGGCCTGGGATGTCCTCAAAGGGATGCCCAAGGGGCGGCGTTTGGGCTGGGGCAGATCAGCGCTGGGGACCCAGATGCGAATTTGAGAATCCTTGGCCACCAGGCCGTAACTGAAGCCTGGTGAGCCAGGGGAGGAGGACCCTCGGGAGGAGGGGAGGCCGTGGACGGAGCCACCGGGGGGGAAGGAGGACCCTCGGGAGGAGGGGAGGCCGTGGACGGAGCCACCAGAAGAGCTGCAGAGAGAGGAAGCCTCCAAGGGGCTGCGGGTGGGGCAGGAGCTGTGGGTGCTGCCAGAGGGTTGCTGTGCTCTACGCTGCTGAGATGCCAGGGAGGACGGCTCAGCTTCCCGGCTGCGCTGGCGAGGGTCACGTCAGGATCCGGACAGACAGGGCCCGCAGGACCTGAGGGCAGGCGCAACAGGCGGCACAGGGTCAGGGATCGGGGACGCCCGGGGGAGCTGGGAAGGGCAGGGGAGGTGGGCTTTGGTCGGCCTTAGCCTGAAGGAACCGGGGTGGAGCGTGAGCTGCACCCTGGGGCCAGCTTTGGTGTCCTCTGATTGGTTACTCCTGGAGGCCGCTGTGGCCTGCGTCCCTGTCCCAGTATCTGGGATTTAAGCCGACCTCAGCCTGCCTGGCTCTGGGCTTCGGGAGGACAGGGGCCTCTCCTGTGTTCTGTGTCCTGCTGCTCAGCCCCCAGCCCATGCTCATCCAAAATGCTCTGGTATATGACCCGTAAGCGGCTCTTGTCATAGACTAACAGCAGTTATGGATGGAGTGGGCACCTTTCATTAATACTTGTTGCCCATTGCTGCATAACATGTCACCCCAAGTTTAGTAGCCTACAACCACAACTGTCATTTATTCGGCTCCTGAGTCTGCACAGCAGGAGCCCGTCAGCGCAGGCACCACAGCTGGTGCCCTGTCCAGAGGGTGAGCGTCCTGCTGTGGCCCTGCTGCGACCCAGCCTTGGAAGGAGCTCCAGTCCCAGAGGGGATGCGGGTTCCACCTCTCCATCTGCCTCTGGAGCGAGGAGTGGAAACATTACTGTGGGCCGGGCGCGGCAGCTCACGCCTGTAATCCCAGCACCTTGGGAGACCAAGGCGGGCGGATCACCGAGGTCGGGAGCTTGAGACCAGCCTGGTCAACACGTTGAAACCCCATCTCTACTCAAAATACAAAAAAACTAGCCAGGCAAAGTGGCGGGCGCCTGTAGTCCCAGCTACTCGGGAGGCTGAGCCAGAAGAATCGCTTGAACCAGGGAGGTGGAAGTTGCAGTGAGTCGAGATCGTGCCACTGCACTCCAGCCTGGGCGGCAGAGCAAGACTCTGTCTCAAAAACAAACAAGCAAACAAACAAAACCCCACAAAACACTAGAGAACTGGGTTCTGGGGAGCTTCCAAGAGCTGAACACGTGGAGATGCCTGGAAGCTCCGAGATGGCACCCTACGCGTCCTCACGGCACTGGAAGCCCTACGCATACCTCCCTGTGTGTCCCTTCCTCTGTTATCTTTTGCCACATCCTTTATAGTAAACCACGAAACACAAGTGTTTCCAAGTTCCGTGAGCTGCTCCAGCAAATCAAATCCAAAGGGGTGGTGGGAACCCCAGATTGAACCCGGTCAGCCAGAAGTCCTAGAAGCCCAAATTGGCAACTGGTGTCTGAAGAGGGAGCAGGCTTGGGGACTGAGCCTTCGACCTGTGGGATCTGACGCTATCTTTGGGTAGAAGGTGTTGGAGCTGAATTAAGAGGACACCCAGCTGGCGTCCGTCGCTCCCACGTGCGGTCACAGAAGCCTTTTCTGTGTGGACGACTGTGACGTGGTGGTGAGAGCAGGGGAGAAACAGCTTGCGTGTTCCCTACGTCCGGTGGGACCCCCTCCCATTTAACAGGAGACTGAGGCCAAGGGAGTGATGTCACCTGCCAGCAACCGTTCGCATTCCAGATTCACTTTTTTTTTTTTTTTTTCGAGACAGAGTCTTGCTCTGTCGCCCAGGCTGGAGTGCAATGGCACGATCTCAGCTCACTGCAAGCTCCGCCTCCTGGGTTCACATCATTCTCCTGCTTCAGCCTCCGGAGTAGCTGGGACTATAGGCGACCGCCACCTCGCCTGGCTAATTTTTTTGTATATTTTTTTTTAGTAGAGACGGGGTTTCACCGTGTTAGCCAAGATGGTCTCAATCTCCTGACCTCGTGATCCTCCCACCTCGGCCTCCCAAAGTGCTGGGACTACAGGCGTGGGCCACTGCGCCCAGTCGGTTTTGTTTCGTTTTGTTTTGTTTTTCTTTTAAGACAGGGTCTCATTCTGTCGCCCAGGTTGGACTGCAGTGGCTCAATCTTGGCTCACTGCAACTTCTGCCTCCTGGGTTTAAGTCATTCTGCCTCAGCCTCCTGAGCAGCTGGGATTAGGGATTACAGGCGCCCGCCACCACAGCCAGCTTTTTTTTTTTTTTTGTATTTTTAGTAGAGCCGGGGTTTCACTATGTTGGCCAGGCTGGTCTCGAACTCCTGACCTCAAGTGACCCGCCGCCTTAGCCTCCCAAAGTGCTGGGGTTACAGGCGTGAGCCACCGGGCCTGGCTGGATTCGCTTTTTCAGTCTGAGAAGTGATTCTGGTTGTTGGTGGGGGTGGGGCCCTGGGGGGTACCGGTGGCGAGTGGGGGGCCCTGTGCGTTCTGGAGCAGGCCTGGACGCAGATCCCAGCTGAGCCCTTGCTGAGGGTGGGCCTGGGAATCAATCACATGAGGCATGTCAGTTGCTGGGAAGTGTTGGGGCTGTTATCTCACCAATGTCGCTACCATCTGCCCAGCTGGCCTCTTCGTTTGACATCTGGGGAGACTGAGGCCCAGGGAGGATACCTGGGGCAGGCGCGGCTGGAGGGCCTGGGCCCTGCGGTCCAGAAGAGCCGCCTGCCCTCCGGCCTCAGGCTCCGCAGGGCCCCGTAGGGCGTCCCCCTCCGCTGCTCCCACCAGGCCGGGTCCAGGGGTCCCGGCGTTTCCGGCCTCGAATCCAGCCTCCAGCCGTCGCGGTTCCGGAGCCGTGGGGGGCCCGCTGGGGAAAAGCGTCTTCTGCGGGCACCGGGGCTGGGAGGCGGGCACGGGGGCTGGGAGGCGGGCACGAGCACCGGGGCTGGGAGGCGGGCACAGGAGCTGAGGCGGGCACGGGAGGCTGGGAGAAGACCACCGAGGCTGAGGCGGAGCACACCGGGGCTGGGAAGGCGGGCACGGGGGCTGGGGAGGTGGCACACCGGGGCTGCCTGGGAGGGTGGCGCACACACCAGCGTCAGCCTCGCGGATTTTATTAGCGCGAGGCAGGGCTCCTTGAGGTGAAGGGAAACCATTTGGCTGTTTGGGGAGAATCCCATCCTGGGAGCCCGGCCTCCTCCGCGAGGCTGGGCGCCTCGTTACCGAGCCTCACTGGGGCGAAGGAAAACTCAGCGCGCCCCGCCTTGAAGACCCCAGTGCAGATCCCGGATGCGCGCGGCGCACCCAGGGCTCAGCCCACCCCGGCCCGGCCTTAGCGCGTGAAAAGAGCGCGCCGCCCTCTCCAGGAACTCCCTCGCGGGTCATGGCGCGCTGGGCCGCCCGGCCCCGGCTTGGCGCGGTCAGCGCCAGCGCCAGGCTGTCGGGCCCCAGGCGCGAAACCCGGCCTCAATGGGAGGCGGGCACCGGGGCTGGGAGGCGGGCACGGGGGCTGGGAGGTGGGCACCGGGGCTGGGAGGTGGGCGCGCACACACCAGCGTCAGCCTCGCAACGGATTTTATTAGCGCGGGGCAGGGGCTCCCGCGGGGGTGGAGGGGAGGCCGCGAAGCTGTTTGGGGAGGGGGCGTCCGCTTCCTGGGAGCCCCGGCCTCCTCCGCAGGGCTGGGCGCCTCGTTGCAGGCCCTCACTGGGGCGAGGGGAAGGCTCCGCGCGCCCCGCACGCGGGGACCCCCAGTGCAGATCCCGGATGCGCGCGGCGCACGGGGCTCAGCCCACCGGCTTGACCTTGGCGATGAAGAGCGCGGCCGCCCTCTCCAGGAACTCCTCGCGGGTCATGGGCGCGCTGGGCCGCCGGCCCCCGACGGCGCGGTCCAGCGCCAGCGCCAGGCTGTCGGGCCCCAGGCGCGAGCCGGCCTCCAGGAAGCGCGCGGGCGCGGCGGCGTCGCTGGCCTGCAGCGCGCCCTCCAGGGTGTCCAGCACGGCCTGGCCCACGCGGCGGTCGGCCACGGCGGCGACCGGATCCTGCAGCAGCTGGAAGAGCGCGCCGGCGCGCGCCACGAACTCCAGCAGCACGAAGCAGGTGAGCGTGCCCGCGCGGAAGACGCTCAGCGGCACCGCCTCGTGGTCACGGCACTGCACCTTGCGCAGCAGCGGCGCCACCACCTCCTCGGGGGCCTGGCCGTCCCGGCAGATGCGCCTGAGCAGCTCGCTGTAGGTGCGTCCGTCCAGCCCTGGCCTCTTCCTGCGCCCCCCGGCGCTCAGGCACTCGTAGGCCACGCTCACGTTGTTGTTGAAGGCGGCCCTGCGGGGACAGGGACGTGGACGTTGGGGGTGTGGCAGAGCCCTCGCGCCCATCCAGACCCAGCCTCCCCTCCCAGCCAGCTCCAGACTCCCCTCCTCCTTACCCTCTGGCCCTGCAGCTCCCCTCTTGAGCCCCGGCCTCCCTCCTCCCAGCCCCTTCCCAGCTTGGGCCTCTCCTCCCGCCAGCTGGGATTCCAGGCGTGAGCCACCGCGCCGGGCCTGTGCTGAACATTTAACACAGCTGACATTTCATTTTTCCATTTCTTTTTCTGAGACAGGGTCTCACTGTGTTGTCCAGGCTGGAGTGCAGTGGTGCAATCAGGGTTCATGGCAGCCTCCACCTCCTGGGCTCAAGCAATCCTCCTGCCTCAGCCTCCCAAACTGCTGGGATTACAGGTGAGAGCTGCTGCATAGAGCCAACGGGTAGATCTCTCTCTCCCCACAATCTCACAGGCAAGGCCCCACTGTCAGTCTGAGGTTCAAATCCGACCCGCTGCCTGCTTTTGTAAATAAACCTTTATCGGCCCTGGCGCGGTGGCTCATGCCTGTAATCCCAGCACTTTGGGAGGCTGAGGCAGGTGGATCACCTGAGGTCAGGAGTTCAAGACCAGCCTGACCAACATGGAGAAACCCTGTCTCTTCTAAAAATACAAAATTAGCCAGGCGTGGTGGTGGGCGCCTGTAATCCCAGCTACTCGGGAGGCTGAGGCAGGAGAATCGCTTGAACCCGGGAGGCGGAGGTTGCCGTGAGCCGAGATCACACCATTGCACTCCAGCTTGGGCAAAAAGAGTAAAACTCCATCTCAAAAAAAACAAAAAATAAGTAAATAATAAACCTTTATCGAAACGTAACCACGTCAGTCCACTGACACGTGGCCTGTGGCAGCTTCAGACCGGAACCATAGAGCTGAATGTCAGGATGGAGGCTCCACGCGAAGCTGAAATGTTCACTATCTGACCCCTTACAGAAGAAGGCTGTCGGCCCTGCTGCCGGCTCTGGCGTGGGTTCGATTCCTTGCCTCAGGGAGGAACCTGAGGCCTTACTCCAGGCCACTCGTGTGCCGCTAGTGTGACTCAGACGCTCCCGTGGAGGGCACCAGGGAGTGGCCAGGGAGCACCGTGGCCAGCATAGGGGCCACTGCAGGACCCCGGGTGGGCTGTGAACCCCTGGGCCTCACGCCCCCATCAGTTCCCGGGCAGGCCTCATGCTGGTGGCCTGTTACTTCCTCTGGGACATATAGGGAAACTGAGGCTCAGGGCAGCCCCATGGTCTGGCCAAGGGTCCCAGAGAGGAAGTGGCCAACCTCAGGACTTATGCTTGTTCCTTCTGGGAGCTCAGCTTCATGCTGAGAAGGGCAGGTTTACATCGAGGCTCCAGCCTCCCTCTGGCGTGACCTGGGCACATGGTTTCACCTTTCAGTGGGCCACCTGTGGTAGATGCGTGTGAGCCAGCATGCAGTAGGTGCTCAGCAAATGCAGGGCTGGTGTGCAGTAGGTGCTCAGTAATGCAGGGCTGGTGCACCATAGATGCTCAGTGCTGCTGGGCCAGCATGCAATAGGTGCTCAGGAAACGTGGGGCTGGTGTGCAGTGGGTGCTTGGTAATACAGGGCTGGTGTACAGCAGGTGCTCAGTGAATGCAGGGCCAGTACACAGTAGGTGCTCAGTAATGCCAGGGTGGTGTGCAGTGGGTGCTTAGTAAATGCTGGGCCAGCATGCAATAGGTGCTCAGTAAATGTGGGGCTGGTATGCAGTAGGTGCTCAGTAATGCAGGCCTAGTGCACAGTAGGTGCTCAGTAATGCTGGGGTGGTATGTAGTGGGTGCCCAGTAAATGCAGGGCCAGCTTGCAATAGGTGCTCAGTAAATCTGGGGCTGGTACACAGTAGGTGCTCAGTAATGCAGGGCCGGTACACGGTAGGTGCTCAGTAATGCTGGGCCGGTACGCGGTGGGTGCTCAGTAATGCTGGGCCGGTGCAGTGGGTGCTCCAGTAATGCTGGGCGGTGCAGTGGGTGCTCAGTAATGCTGGGCGATGCAGCGGTGGGTGCTCAGTAATGCTGGGCAGTGCGCAGTGGTGCTCAGTAATGCTGGGCGGTGGGCCAGTGCCGTGCTTGGTGAACCACGAGCCTCCTGAGTCATCACTGCTGCTCAGTTCAGGGCTTAGGGATGGACGTGCCATCCCAGCAAGCTTGAGGGTCAAAGCCCTGCTATGGAGGAGAAGCTGAGGCCCAGGGTTGGAGGGCAGCGACCTGCAATTCAACTCTAGGCGCATCTGGCTGTAGGCTCCTTTTCCCTCCCAAGCAGTAGAGCCCCACTTGGCCCTTAGAATCTACTGAGCACTTTTACCATCCATGAGGATATCCCGAATGCGCTGGGGCATGGCGCTCCCATCACACCTGACTCCACCACCGCAAGCCCGGCTGACACCGTGACACACATCTCATCAGGATCCTGTTGAGGTCAGGCAGGCTACTGCTCCCAACCACACTCCAAACCTAGCGTCTAAAAACAGCAAGTGTGGCCGGCGCGGTGGCTCAAGCCTGTAATCCCAGCCGCAGCACTTTGGGAGGCCGAGGCGGGTGGATCACGAGGTCAGGAGATCGAGACCATCCTGGCTAACACGGTGAAAACCCGTCTCTACTAAAAATACAAAAAAAAAAAAAAAAAAAAAAAAAAAAACTAGCCGGGCGAGGTGGCGGGGCGCCTGTAGTCCCAGCTACTCGGGAGGCGAAGGCAGGAGAATGGCGTGAACCCAGGAGGCGGAGCTTGCTGTGAGCCGAGATCCGGCCACTGCACTCCAGCCTGGGTGACAGAGCGAGACTCCGTCTCAAAAAAAAAAAAAAAAGAATTAAAAGAAAACAACAAGCGTGTACTATTGTCACAGTGTCTGTGGCGCTCTGCTGTGAGGCTCCCGGCCCAGGGTCTCGTGAGGTGGCCGTGGCCACAGTTCCCGGGGCTGGACGCGGGGCGGCCCACTCCCCGCAGGGCAGCGGCTCTTGGCAGCAGCAGGTGCTCCCTGGGAGCTGCCCGGCGACCCCACTGCGTGTGACTGCCTGACCCGAGCCAGCGACCCACCCAGGAGGAGGGGACACCCGCGATGTCCTTCGTGGCGCACCTGAAGGCCTCGTCCGGTGCTTCAGCAGTCCCGTTCGGCTGTGCAGGAGGGCGCTGGGGCGTGAAACCTGAGGCGCTGAGGCTCCATGGGCATCTCGAGGCTCGCGAAGTACGCGCTGCTCCGCGGATCCCTCTGCCACTTCTCCACCCGCCACTTCTCCACCCCACCCCGGAGGAAGTGAGCCTCTGGGCCTTGCTTTGCCCCTGAAATGCGCAAGGGCGTGGCCCTCTCAGCGGGAAATTTAAAGAGCCATCAAGCTACTCCCCAGTCCACTTCTCTGTTGTCATGATTGCAGGTGCGTGTCAGATCAGACAGCGCTTGGTGGGGATGCGGTGGCTCATGCCTGTGAGCCCAGCACTTTGGAGGCCGAGGCGGAGGACTGCTTGAGCCCAGGAGTTTGAAATAGGCTGGGCAACATAGTGAGATCCCGTCTCTACCCAAATTTAAAAATCAGCCAGGTGTGCGTCTGTCCTAGGTACTTGGGAGGCTGAGGTGGGAGGATCACCCAGGCCCCAGGAGGTCGAGGCTGCAGTGAGCTGGGATTACACCAATGCACTGCAGCCTGGGTGACAGAAACAAGACCCGGCTCAAAAAAAAAAAGAAAACTGGAGCCAGGCGTGGTGGCTCATGCCTGTAATCCCAGCACTTTGGGAGGCCGAGGCGGTGGATCACTTGAGGTCAGGAGTTCAAGATCAGCCTGGCCAACATGGTGAAACCCCGTCTCTACTAAAAAATACAAAAAAATTAGCTGGGCGTGGTGGTGGGCGCCTGCAATCCCAGCTCCTCAGGAGGCTGAGGCAGGCCAGCTCGAACTCGGGGCCGAGTTGCAGTGAGCCGAGATCACGCCACTGCACTCCAGGCTGGGCGGCGGAGCCAGACTCTGTCTCAAAAAAATAAAAAACAAAAACCCAACAACTGGCCGTCCCCTGCAGAGGAAGCGAGAGGAGTTTTGGTTGTGTTGAAGCCACTGAGGTTTGGGGTTGTTGGTTCCTGTGGTGCCCGAGGCTTCTCCTGACTGACAGGTCTGTGGGCCAGGATTAGCCAGCTCCATCCACACCACTTCTGCTGCAATTCTCTCCTCTCTCTGGGCGGCAGCCTGGTCAAGCTCCCCCAGGCATCCACGGCGGCCCCTCGGTGCACCCGCAGGTCTCTGTGCCTGGCCCGGACCTGCCTCGGGTGTTCGTCTGCCCCTCCCGATGTGCACCCTGCTTTTCTGCGCCTGACCTTGTGCATCTCGTTGTGGGAGTTCTGTGAGGGCCAGGCCGAACAGGGCTAGAGCCAGGTGGGACATGTGGAAGCCCACCTGCTTGGCCGGGCTGTAATTAGGGCTGCAGCTCTGCCACAGCTGCCTCCAGGGGCAGGAAGACACTCAAAAAGGTAATTACATCCCTGGTGAATCACAGCCATGATGACGGCAAGACACAGAAGTAGCCATTTGACTTCAAGGCAACCATGGCCTGCACCTGCCCCTCCTGGGCTCCCAGGCGGCTCCCAGCAGAATCACTGGGTGATGGAGGAGGAGGAGGAGGAGGAGGAGGGAGGGAAGAGCGCAGCTCTGGGCTGGGGAGGAGGCCTGGGCTGGAATGTCAGCTCTGCCTGTGACGGTGGCCTCTGGGCCTTGGTCTCCCTGATTGCAAAATGGAGAGTAGGGCAGCCAGGGCTCTGTGTGTCGGCTCCTACACAGAGAGTGTGTAAGGCATGTGAGCATTTGTTAATACAGGAAAGATCCTATTTATGGAAAGTCTCCAGAAAGGCGGAACCCCTCCACGCACTTCAGACTTCTGCTTCCACTCTGCCCCCAGCAGGCGCCGGGAGGCGGTGACTGGGACATCTGTGGTTGTCACGACTCGAGGAGCTCCTGGCGAGGAGGGGTGGAGGCCGGGGACGCT